AGGTGGGTGTTGTCGCACGGTCGTGAAAATTCTGCACCGGAGCTTCACCACCACGCAACGTCTCGAACTCGTTCGAACTGCGTCGGGTTGAGATCTATTAGCTGTCTCATCGCAAGATGAAAAGTTCGTAGCCAGCACTACGTACAGGTTGATCTCGTCGCTGGCGTTTATAATGTAGTTCTTTTCCAGCTTCCTCTCTGGGACGTACCCGCTCATACCCGTGTTTAGCTTGGTATCGAAGAATTTAGGTGAGTTATAGCGTCGAAATCATGAAATGGAAACTAAAGATCTGATTGGTCAACCTTAAATTTTAACTTTTTGTGACCTCAGTCTCGAGCAACAACAAAATATGTGAACTCACGAGGTCAGGAAGGACTGGTCAACATGCAGCACTGATCGACTCGCGTACCTACACTGAGGTAAGCTTTACTCGTCTGTTTGAATATCTGAAGCTGAGAGAAGCCTCCTCTAGTGAAGTACCACTCAATCATCGCAGACGATGTTCTTCTCGTGGCTTCCTCCAGAATTAAGGCTGCAAGTGTACGAAGAGCTCCAGTCAGACGATATTGCCATCCAGAGTCTTTCAGCGACTTGCAGCCAGGCATATGCAGAAGTCCGGTTCTACCGCTCAAAAGTCTCTGAAGTCTCGTTTCAATCCCTTGACCAGTTCAAGCAATATATCGAGACCCGAACATCACTCACACTCCAGCATCCTCACCACGTCACGGTCGTCTTTTCTGGGGTTGCTCCTGCGCAAGCATGGAAAGCTGCAGTGAAAATCAACCTGCGAACCTTGGAACTCATCCTGGCTCCAGCCTCTGTCTACCTACTTCCGAAAATGTACAGTAACTGTTTAATGCGCCTCCAGGGCGCTAGGAACCTATTTCTGCTCCGCGGTCTAAGTCTCGTCAACTTGACCTTTCAATGTCGCAGTGCTATGTGCCGAATTTATAAAAATGCATACCCGGACCTGCCAGACTTCAAGCGCAACCTCAAACTTCTTACCAGGCCCCTCTCTTGCCGACAAAAACTCATCCGTGAAAGGGTGCAGCGACCGGCCCAATCTAGACACATGACACGTGCGCGATCCAAGGCCTTGGAATCGAGGTAGAGATTCTATAAGGTATGTCAACTCCCCGCTACGCGTATTCAGTGCTAACGTCAGCTATAGCACCCTGTTCGCTCGCCCATGTTCTTCATCTCTGGACTCGTTACGCAGCATCCAATCAGGGGTTTCCAGCCGCGATCTAACATACTGCCTTCCGATGCAGCGGTACAGGTGGTGGCCACTGGGAAATGCATCAGACCTATTGTGGAGAAGTGATGAGACTTGTTTGATCACTGTGGGGCGCATGTTCATTAGGCTCCAGCACGTGTAACCTAGATTCAATGGACAAGTCATCTCTCAACAACTCTTCATCACATTCTCAAAGCTGGATGCCGATGCTGCTGGTGCTCCATGCTACTCCAATTGCGTTCTTCTACCACATACCGAGATGATTGCGTACCCATCTAGAAGGCGCTGTTGAGAGGTGTAACAGGGACAACGGACACATCATTTCACTCTTTTTCATATAATCTGGCAAGCTCCTAGGAATTGAAGTAAACGTTTAAGAGTTATATCCGCAGAGTCTACGACGAAAGGCAGCCTACATGTACATGTAGCTATCAATCTATACACAATAAACCGTGATCTTCTAGCAGATCTGCCAAGGGACCTTTAGGCCCTAATATCTCCTGAGGCTAGCCCATAAATTCACTACCCAATGCCTCGATCGTACTTTAGTGTCGACAAGGCTAAGAACAAGGGACGACATCGTCTCAGACCATAAGCTTCTCCGTTGCTTTAAGGGTCTACGGCCAGACCATTTATTTCCATGCCCTTTGGACGGTAGCTCTGATGCTCTAAGAAGCCTTCGCGACCTTCCTGATGCATCGGTCAGACGCACCAGTCCATCACAGTTTCGAGTCCATTTGAGAGTATCTGTACTCCTTCATAACCACTCGCATCAACGCCGGTTACGACATCCGAATCACGTACTTCGCAGAGGAGACAGAACATACTGCCATTCTCGTCTATAAGGTCCCTGACCAAAATGCCACGAGATCGTCCGCCAATAACTATTTCAGTGGTCCTTCCAAGTGCTTTTATTCAGCACGAATTTCGGTATTGGCCGCTGCACGTTCGAACACTGCAACTGTAAACACGTCTACTCCGTATATCAGCAGTACTTGCCACCGCATGTCCTCGAGGTCACGACTCACTATCGCCTGCCCATATCTTGCCGCTCGGAAACCGAGTCACAACAGCAGCATGACTCCCTCGCCCTCCGCCAGCCTTGCTGGTACGGTTGAGGGTACGGTTGACGCTGTCTTCGATAGCAGGAGGGTTCCCGTACACTCCATACTCACCCTATCTCCCTCTCAGCCGAGAGCACTTCCGTCACCGCTACCAAATGTTGACGCCGTGATCACAACGCCCCCAAAACCGCGGTTTCCATGACGGAAGGAAGAGATGCAGAATCTCGAGGAGATCATGACCTGGGTAAAAGGGGAAATTCAAATGAAGAAGAAGGATAAGGAGAATGAGGGACGCGCAGAACGCCTGAGCGAGGCAGTAAGGGCTATCATTGAGGTACTGGTGGGCCCGGCAATTGCGAAGTCAAAAGCGCGAAGGCCCCAATATGAGCAGGCGAAAGCAAAGGAATCTGCTCGTTTCGATAAGCGCTGGGAGAGGGAGCTGGCAGATCTGAGGTACATAAGGCCCGACATCTAGAGTTGATGATAAAGTAGTTCGGCAATGCGCTTTTCCAGTGCATTGTTGCCACTTTCTCCGCCAGAACTGTGCACCACCATACATTTGGAGGTCTTGCCCGGATCCTGTGGCCTTACAAGTGATCGATTCGTTCGTTCGTTCGTGATTCTGATGAAGCCTATTCCAGTACCATTCTTTGAGAACGTGGCTTTTTGGCTTGTTCCTGTAACTCAATTTTACACCACTTCTTCATGCCAATCCGAAGCCTGCTACGAAAACCCTCACGTCCCCCGTTTTAAGTCTTCATTCATATCCTGAAGTCTAGCACACGCCGTTCTTCTGCACTAGACGAAGTCGTGGCACACTGCTCTCGAAGCTTTCCTCAGAGCCCTACCATCTTCAAGCCATCCCACAGGCATCTCGTTGCTACTCCACCACTGTATAGCTAGATGGCCATTCTACAGCCGGAAAGAACCAAACATCGCCTTGTGTCCTTGCATGAATGCTGGTGTAGCACGTACACGTCCACCCCATGCAGCTGTAGCTGTCGCCCCTGGTTTAGCTGTAGCCCTTGATGTAGCCCCTCCACGTTCACCCCGCCGTCCGGCCGGCTGCTGTAGAGGCCGTGCAACCCTCGGCGCAGCGTCAGTACCAGCAGCCTCGTCTGGTCCAGCCTCATCGCCTCGTGTAGCTCTAAAGAATGCGTCCGCTGTAGCAATTTCCTCCTCTTCAGCTACCTGGCTTACTGTAATGGCTAGCTGTCGTTGTCGCTAGGCCTCTCTTGCCAGCTCATGGTGCCCGTGGTGACTTCAATCGATGCTGGACAGGAAGATGAAGGAAGAGAAAGGAGCCGTGACTGGCTGAAAAAATGAGGAGTTGGCTTGGTGACGAGTGAGTAGTTGAACGGTGTAAGAAGAACGTAGAAGGAGAACGATCATCTTCTAAATCTTCTAGGTCTCGTCTGGTAGCCCCCAACACTCCACCATCCGATCCGGGCGTATCTGATGATCTTTTTTGGGCCCACAGTCGACGGAAGGAGTAAATCCGGCTGTTGGAGGTCTGCAATTAACTGGAGCTTCAAAGGTCTGAGATTCTCACTGTGTGACTGCAGGCAATCTCGTTCGCTCTGAGGAGGCATAGAGAGCATTGCCAGTATGCTTCTTTAGTGCCATTGACGATGCTGAAGGCCAATTTGATTGGGCGGTTGTGAATGGGATATTGGGAAGAGGTCTTAGTGGGTAGGGATGCTCAGATTTGACGAGAATTGGACACAAGGATGCTACCTGCACAGTCGACTTGATCTCATGTATGCATATGAATGGCGTGGCTCCATTGGCCGTGGACGGCTGCTTGAATGCTTTCGCTAGCAAATATAAAGTAGCTTGGTGTTGGAGACCTAGAGTGCGCTCGGACCACAGGCTTCGGGGCTCTAGAAACTTTATTGGTGGAGGCGTCCGGACGTGCTTGGGAAGAGACACCACCAGTGTTCCTTGGTAATTCGCAGTCAGCCTGCGTTCGGTAGTTATCTTAAGCGATCAGAGGGTAGGCTACTTACTTGGTCGTTGTTGCGACGTACTTAATGTGTGGTGCAATGAGTGTAGGAAGATTATCTCGAGGTGCTGAAAGATGCCAGATCTGATGATAAATTTGTCTTTGAATTTTGGATCACGCTATATCCAAAATGAAGCCAGCTCCTTTTGAGCGCAAGAAATTCTCTGCTTGTGTCACCGGGAGTCTTATATCGTCCGGAAATGCGCGACGATGCTCATCAGATCGACCTTTGATAGATGATGATATTAACATAGAGACTGAAAATACGATTTTCGCGTGCAGATTTTTCAAAAGCAAGCTCCGCACGTGATGGGGATTCGCAGGGCTGGAAGGTCTGTATTGTATGCCTTTGATCCAAATGAAAGCCCTTGAATTCCCCGACTCGGGCTTCGGGTCGTGTATCTATCAATCGTGCCCTACCCGATATACAGAGATACCGTCTTCAGCATAATATGAACCGTCGAGGTACCGTCCCGTCGAGCAGGTCCTTCCAAGTTATAGGCTTTACTACGGCATCAGTAGCATAATAAGAGGCCAAGGCATATGAAGGCACGACAGAGATGACTTTGTCAATTCTTGAGCTTCACTGTCTTTCTATGCTATCGTTCCTACATGATAGATTGCTATTTGAGCCAAGTTCGACAGCTTTTTGCAGTTCTCCTTCCTCACGCCGATAGTGTGATTGAAATATGAACTATTGAAGTCCCCGTCGCCAATCGAACTCAGTGAGATCCATCGTCTGGAATAGAGAGCGCTTTTGCTCAGCCTGAGAGTCCTTACTCATCTTCATAATCTTCTGCTGCGGATGCAACCCCATATCCGCGGCTCTTTTCAGCCCAAGAACCGGTTTCTGTTCGATCTGCAATTTCATGTCTTGGAGTCGGGCTAACTCCGTTGTCGCATCTACATAGATGGCTCTGAGCTGTACTATGTCCTTCGGTGAGGTGCGACCACTGCGTTGACCGGAATTGAATGCTTGTTAGTATATTCGTTGTAGGTTTGAGATAGCTTTATCGAGCGTGCTTTCCCTGTCTGTTGAGGTCGCGCGACTGATAGTATCAGTAACCACTGTAGATAATGCAGTCTTAAGAGCGTTTGGGGCGTGACGAAGCATAGTCGATGCCTCTTTAGCTAAAAAGCTTTCGAGTTTTCCTCGCACGATCTCAGTGACTCGACCTGGAACTTTCTCCCCTCGGGATTGGGTGGCCTTCCGATCCGCGAAATAGAGCTGGATTTCATCGTAGAATTGGCTCATGTAGCTTTTGATACCGGATTGAATGATTCCTTAAGGTAAGCGTGCGGCTTCCCCAATGAGAGCCTTGAATAAACTGTCGATGTGGAGGATGCACCGCTCCTGTTCACGTTTGTTGGCCGTGTAACATAGTTGGAGTACCTGGTTGTTGCGGGTCTTAGGGGTAGTACACGTATTCTGAACGTTCTGATGGAGCTGTGAGAAGGAGTCTTTGATGCATTTGACGATATGGTTGCGAGCAATGTAGACCTGTTTCCTTAAATCACACTCGAGAAATCCTTCGGCGACCTCTCTAATATGAGCTCCCCTGTAGATGTCAATGGTAGATCAACCTCGCCTGATGCGCGGCACTCACAGATCAGTATTGAGATTGTACGCTTGAGAAGTCTTTTTCTTGCGTTTCGCCAGGTGGACTCCGCGATGCCTAAGGATTGCGCGAAGAGTTGCCGAATTTAGATCTTGTAGTTCTTCGACCTTGAGCTGGAGGGGTTCAACGATATACTCTGGGTCCAACAGTATAACATCATCCTTCCGTTTTGCTTTCTGGACCCCCAGTAACGTATCTTTGATACCCTTATCTACCCGCTGTCAGCTTCCGTTCGTTGCTAGATGAAGTTCTTTTAATCATACGCGGAGTCATTGATACCCTGAAGGGTCTTTTCAAGCTCTTCCGTACGTATAGTGAGCTCCTTCCGTGTTGACTGCAACTATATTTAGTCGATACATCGGCCGATAGATCAAGGTTAGACCCACTTTATATATAGTGGCGCAGAACCTTATGCCATTCCCTTTCACCAGCTCCTGATCATATGAGCTCATGATTTGGAGTCTGAGAAGGTTCTCTTTTGTTCCGTTGAACCAGCTCTTCTCATGCGGCGCTACCGTCTCGTTCACCAATTGCGCGAAAAAACGTTCCTGTGTCACCAAGCCCGTGGACTCCCTATCTGGCCACACGTGATAGCGCTCGTCCATATCCTTCCGAGAGTCTCTAGCCAGCATAGCTATTGCAGCCGGACCGTATACACCCACTAGAGTGGTTAACTCTCTAGCTAACTCTCCGAGTGCTGCTGTCTGGAATTTCTCGGAGTCGAAGTCATTGTCTCCGCGAGCCTGAGACCGTGTTAACGCTTGCTCGGCCATCTTATCCGCAACCTTGTCGACTATCTTGGAACGTATTGCAGCCACTTTCGCGTCCGTCCGAAATCTATGCATTTCTCGTTTCAGTCGTTGAATCTCCTTTTTGACTAGATCTGAAGACTCAGATAGGACTAATATCTCCTTCAATGAGGCAGAGAGTTGCTTCATCTAATCCGCGACAACCCTGCTGTCAAGTCGATTATTTTGGTCTATGTCCTCGATGGTGTTCGTATCGAATATAACAGGTGAACCATCCGCCCATCCCTGGTTTTGGATTTGCGACCACCAGGATGGCTCCTTGACGGGACCCTCTATCGCAACAATTAGGAGTTCTGAGCAAGCTTGGCATGCGCGTTGAATTCGTTGAGACTTTGCTTCCTGGATCTTTTCTTGCTCATATAGCTGGGCTAGCTCTATCTCTGCGATGGCGAGATCGGAACTCAAGGACGCGTAGGTCTGATTGCCTGCAACATGTCTCTCGGCCTACATTTTAAGACCCTTGTCGATTTGGGTAAGAACTATCGTGAACCTGTGACTGTTTAGCAGCAAATTTGAAATGCTGACGGACTACTTACCTGGAGTTGTTGCCGGTCGTTTGGTTATCCCAAATAATGTCTCCAACACGATCCCATACGTCAGGACTATCAACCGCTCTATCACAGCCTGCCACAATCACTGGTGAGGTACGCCTGCGCATCCAACCCTTGGCAACATCGGCTCTCGCTACTTCTGTGTCCTAAAAGCAGGGCAATTGCTTCGTTCTAGGAGAGGGGGTTGAGGTACCATTGTTCCGGGAATGTCAACAAGCACAAACCCTTGCTTCAAGATACTGCTGTTGACTTGCACACTAATCCCGTGAGTCAAAGCCATCTACATGAGCAGGGCCGCCAGCCAACTTACTGCATCTCCTTGGTTATTGGCCAAAGGACTACCGCGTCCTCATTCTCCAACTCCGCGCTTGCCCCGTATTTCTGAGCTTTCTCCGCGAATTCAACCGCCGTATGGCAGAAAAAACTCAACTCACCATCTCTAATATGTTTGTCAATGCCACATTCGACGTCGAGACGCGAGAGCTCCCTTTCCAATTCATCCGACGTGCGATCAAAGTCCTCCACTTTTAATTTCGGGTGCAGCGCAGTGAGTCTAGATCGAGCCGTGGCTTGCTGGTCCGGTCTCCTTGCTGTACCCTTGTTCTTTGACCGAGAAACAATGTTCCAGTACTGCTTTTCTTTCTGCCGCGAATTCTGCCTCGTCGAGGAAGACCACGCGAACATCAATACCTTCCCCGCCATTTCCCCGGATTTTGATCGGGATAGGTGTGCATGCATTAGAGTCCGAGGCTGGGAGTCGTATGCTGGGGAACAGCGCGTTGAGTGTTGTGCCTATTGACCAACTTGTAAGCAGCGCCGCGGAGTGGTCGACCAAGGCCTCACTCTTGCCATGGCCCGTTCCTCCAAAAAGGCCTACAATGGTTTCGGGTGTGCGAGCTTCCAATAGAGATGTCAATTCAGCTGTAGCCGATAGTCAGTCACTCGCTGTGGAAACTACGCATCAGCATTAGCGCTCACTCAGCTCTGCCTCAAAGGCTGCCTGTACGGCGGCATCTCGGAGTCCCGCAGTCTTGGATTTCATTTCTTGTAATGCACATGACCATGGGAGCCGGGCGAGTTGGAGCAGTTTGATGGTCTCGCAGAGGCCTGTCATAGCTGACTCTATAGTTGAGTGATGTTGATTAGTGGATTTTGGTGGGTGTTGTAAGTTGAAAACTAAAGTCATACAGATTGATTAGAACTAGCGCGGCTGCCCATTAGGCTGAAGTGAAGTGAAGTACACTGAAGTGAAGTGAAGTGAAGCAAAGTAAGCTCATTTGATACCTTATTGGCTACGCATAGTTCGTGGAAAATCTAGCATTTGCTTCAATGAGGAGTAAACCTTTATAATCTAGATGTCACGACAATAAATAAATGAATCTATTACGAAACGCATATTAACAATAACTCGAGATTCATGAAAGTTATTGTTCTACTAATCATTGCCCGGTTACTTATGAAACTCTTTAACGATCGAACCGCGTGAGTAGAGTACCTCCAAATATGAAAATCAAGCATCGAGACAAGGGGGCGACGATGGAGAACATAATACAATATTGCTAGGTTTCATCTCAATGTCTCAAGAAATGAAAAGTGGGAAGGTTATCACAAGGCAATGGAGCAATACTAAAACGTAAGTGCATCAGTTAAATACTCCGCGGTGGTCTCTAAATTTACGCCATATTCAAATGCAGATCGATCAAGTGCGGTAACATCGAAACGACGTGATCAGTCTGGTTATACATACGAGATAGACTAGTTAGGGATTCATAAAGTAAAGTATAATGTCCTAAGAGACCAGCTAAGAGACCAGCATCTCTAAGCCTTTGACTATCGGTGCATCATGTCCGAGGTTTTGCCGGATCGCATGCTGGTCTTGACTATGCCATCCACACCTGCCATACCCACATTGTCCTTCAGAGATCCTGGAGATGTAGGCCGTATCTTGCCTGCGTGCCAGCAAGATTCTCCGACTTCTTCTCCTTGTCCAGTCTTCTTGCCATAGTCCTCCATTTGTGTTATTCACCCCTAACACCTATTGGCAGCCTGGCTTGGGAGCTTCACTGTAGATTTGCCCTGTGTCTCCCATGCTCTTGCCATCAAGTCCATCCTCCATTCCATCCTTTGTTTCGTAGGGTTTAGTAAGGAGGTAGGTGATAAAAATCGAATGTGTTGAATGCCATTTGGTGATAAAATTGAAAAAGTACGAATCGCGAAACCCTAATCTTATGTTGGTGGCAAGTTTGTGTCAAGGATCCAAGTGACAGGAGCATGTTGAAGGTTCATACCACTTGAGTTTGGTGACTAAGAATAATGATGAGCCAACAATGTTGCCATTCGTGAATTGAAGGGACTGGGATTAGTTCTCAACGGAGATGTGCTCGTTATCCTCCATAAGATCGTCCTCAGGCGGCTTCCTCAGGGGCAGTCTGACGCACAGGCTCCTTGCTCTTGTTTTTGACAGTACGACGACGAGCGGGAGTGGACTCCTCCCCCACCTCTTCTTTCTTGACTGCAATGAAATCTTTCTGCATATCTAATGCAGTAGTGGCAGCAACGAAAATCTGCTCAGCGAACCCGCCTCCCTGCTTGACCATACGAACCAGATCTTTCCTAATCGCCTCATCCACTCCCTTCATGAACGTCGGCGCTACCTTGGAAAAATACACCTTGAATGGTCCATTCTCATGGTCAAGTTCCTCGTAGTACATGTCCTCAGCCCAATCGAAGAATTTGCCAGGCGGGATACTAGACAAGATCTTAGAGCTCGAGAAGAGCGTGACGACCTGCTTCTGCAAGCCGGGCAGGATATAATGCTTGGCTAGGCTCATGAGTTCTTTGATTTCTTCGAGGCGTGCAAGAGGGTTGTTCTTGGTGTTGGACATCAAGAATTGGTCTTTGTAGAGAAATTGAAGCATCTGCTCGAAGGCAATGGCGTCGTGGGTCATTAGGGGAAGAGTATTCTGCTTGGTGGCACGCTTGTTTGCTTTGGCTTTGTCGATCTCTTCTGCGAGCTTGGGGGAGCGCTTGAGGACTGACTCGTGGGCGTGGAACTGAGGGCCGCCTGGGCCGAGCTGGATGATGAAGATGGTGGATGTGAAGTTCATAAAACCCGAGTTGCCAGCCAGTCCGCCGGGTGTGGTGGTAGAGGTTGCACGAGGTGCTGATCTCATCAACGCGTTACTACGGACGCGCTTTTTGGTTGGTACAACAGCAGATCCATTTGAATTAGTCGAGCTGGCATTCGAGTCGCCACGGAGACGCTTGCCGAGTGTCTTCTTTGGTGCTTTGGCCTTTGGACGCAGAGGGACTCCATTGGAGTTGCTAGCCTTGACAGATGCAGACGTGGAGCCCGAATTGGTGCCACCCTCGACGAGGCCTTGAGCGACCGAGAAGCTGGAGTCTGCTGAATCCGAATCACTATGGTTGTTGTCCTCAGGGCTCAAGATGTGCTCCGGTGAGACGCGTGCTGGAGGTGTTGGTAGAGGGGTATCATCCCTTGATGCCTCGACCGTACCATCACAGTTGGGAAGCAACATGGCAGCAGTTCCCAAACGACGGTTTGAGACAGGAGAAGATGAAGCGGCCAGCTGCTTCGGAGAGCTGCCGACAGAAGGGGGCGATGCCGTCTTCTTGGTGACCGAAGAGGTCTCGAGACGCGAAGGAGATACCATTCCCTGGTATCAAGCCGTACGTGACTTGTTGATATGAATATGTTTGAGGTATTTAGAGAGAGCTTTAAGGGATGTATGAAGTATCAGAGCGTAAATCTTGGGTATGAAGGATGGAGAAAGGTGAAGAAGGTTGGGGTCGTGAGATGAGAATCTGGAAAAGAATTTGGGTTACAAGCCGTGTGTGTGTAGTCGCTCGGTAGCCAATTGGTCTTTGGTCGTTTAGTTGTACTGACGGTGCTCAACGCTTTAGTTCACTCTAGAGAAAGTGAAACACTTGATTTGCTCGATGTGAAGTGTTCTCCCCGTCGTGATCTCAATACTACTGCATCTCATTTTTGATGATACTTCATCGCTCGGTGAAGTATGATATCGATGACAGGATTGCATCACTCAGTATATTGATTCACTCGTACTACAAGTGTGAAGTCGATGCTTCACACGTTCAATAGCTTTCACCGCCTCATTAGACAGGTTTAGCAACGAATTTCAAAAGAATGATTCAAAGCGGGAACAGCCCTACCCTTCTACCGCTAACCCGATTGGGCAATATCACGCCGAAGAGTCACAAATCTCTTTGAATTTCACTTATTCTTCTTCTTTCACCACATATATATATCATGAACTCCTTTAATGATGGGGATCTCGTTATAACGATCTTTATAGTTATATTGCTAGGCTATTGGGCTGTGATCGCCACTATACGCTACCAATTGGCTGGCAACGAGATCCACCTATACGTGGTGCCGGCTACGAACCCTCTGACAAAGATTCCTATGCCTTCGGGAGTCTGCTCTGCACCTGTTTAGCAGCTGCTACGCGTTGATTGGGTCCCAACTCGTCAGCTGCAGTGGGCGTAAACTTACGGTCCGGCATGTCAGAGCATCTGCAAATCTGAAAAGTTCCTTTCCGCACGATTTCCGCCGGGTCCGCACCATAAGCACGATTTAGCACGATTTAGCCTATTCAGCAGACTTTACCTATATCCAACCCTTTCCGCCAGTTCAACAACTATCCCAACCCTTTCCGCCAGTTCTATCAGTTTAGCAACTTCAAAAAATTTCAACAACTTAAAAATTTTTACGCAATGCACTCTAATACACTATAAGTACTATTCTACACTGGTATATATATGGCATCAATATATATTATTATCAACATACGCATCATTATGCGCCATACCAGAGCATCACCCACGCGACTAATTTCATTAAATCGTCTAATTCCGTAACCAAATTTGAGTTGGCGTTAATACTCGTCGCCGTAGAACCTTACCGTCGCAACGTCGATTATTAGAACTTTTCTTTTTTCGTGCGTATTGCTACTAAACTAGCAGAACTGGCGGAAAAGGTTGGGACAGTTGCTGAACCGGCGGAATTTGGGCGGATTCTAATCAGATTTGCTGAACCGGCAGAATTTGGGCGGATTCTAATCAGATTTGCTGATCCGGCGGATTTTGTGATTTCCGCGACAAACGCGCGATCAGCAATTTCAAATTTTGCAGGAACTTTTCAGATTTGCAGATGAGGAGCCAAGAGATCTCAAGGGAGCGTACATTTACACATGGGTGTACGATCGGATTCTTCGATTACGACAACGGTCAACTACGTACGAGCGAAAATCGGACAACGAGACGCGTCAGATCGAGGGTTAACGCGTCCCCCTCGAAGAATTCGGTATTATCGACATGACGGCGAGCCCCACCCCTCTCGGTCGGATGATACCTCCCTCCCTCGCTGATCGGTAACTCTTCCCTAAATACTACAAGTACCCGACTCCGGCCACAGACGAGTCGAGCTCGTTTACGAGAATTGTATAGAGGTTTTCTAGAGGAAAGAGACCAGACAAGAGAGCTGAATCTAATGTGCTTGGAAAATACCCCCTTGACAGCGGAGTCAGTGAGCAATAAGTGATGGCCGTATACCTCCCAGCCAGCTATCGACGTGCGAATAGGCCTGATTAGGTCTCGTATCCCTACGGGAATCGGAGGAGAGCTTAATTCGGGTATTCCCGGCTTCGGTTTGACAAATGTTACTATTCTCTCTCTTACGTGACGATATACAATGGAGTACTGGGTGTCTGAGGGTATATAGAACAGAGAGGCTAGAGCTCGGCCCGGAGAAACGAGGAAAAAGCTTTGGGGTACATTGCAGAGTGTAATGGTGTCTGGTTGCAATGGAGGCTTTGGAATTCCCAACATAATGTACATAGCCGTGGTTCTACGGGACCACGATTATCTGCCGTACCTCAAATGGGGTACGGATGCCGGACATGGCCGTAAGGCCGAGTGGGTAAAAACGGTTGCACTCTGGGCTACGCCTTTCAATGGGAAGGGGTACGAACAGAGGCACGGCCCTCCGATGTAGGAATTACACACACACACTATCAATTATTAAGGAATCATTATGGTTTACCTCATATATGTGTGTGGTGTAAAGTTGTTGATTATTCTATATACCTGCAGGGCAGATATATGCGGTGCCAAGCCTACGCTAGTGGCCTTATGAGTGTCCCTAAGGCATCTCATGACAATTGCCCACAAAAAACAGAGAAATGCCATGTCCTTATGGCAAGAAGTATGCATGCATGTGTGTTTTTCGAAAAACCGGAAAGGAATGGAGATGCCGGACCGATTAGTAGTGTGAATCCCACAATTTCTCCTACCGCAGTGAAAGCTTTCGAATAATGAAATGGCTGTCGAGACAAGACATCAGACGGTTTCAATTCGTCCAAATATGTATCGTCCGATGTCCTCCTGCAGAGGCCCAATTGGCTGTGATCGTCGCAGTAGATCCTCCTCTTATGTCGTTATTGCAGTGATGTACCATAAGGCCAAGTTGCAGTGGTGTTCTCCGCATTTGCCTGCTGCAGTGGTTCCTCCTCTTACTGAGTATCGGGCTGGTGTGAGATCGTGGAGAGCAGGTCTGTTGTGTCACTGCTGCTGCTGACTGTCTCCGCAATGTTCTCCGTACTGCATTGCTCCTTCTCTTATAGAATATCAGACTGAGTGGCTGAGTGAGTGGCTGGCTGAGTGGCTGGCTGAGTGGATTGCTGAGCTGATAGGGTAGGTAGTGCTGACTGAGCGGCTGGCTGAGTAGGCCTAGATCGAGCTTCCAATGCTTCTAGTCTTATACACATGAATCTCATCATTTCTATCATTTGTGTCATTTATTTCTGAAGCGAGGCGAGTGGGGTATTGTCTGGTTGACTGGCTGGCTGTTTCCTTAGGGTAGGATAATTTTTTGCTTTGTTTAAATTGTCAGGACTAGCATAGGTACGATACCAGTATGGGTGAGGTAGAACGAGGATAATAAGGCTACCGAACTATGTATGTGGGAAGGAGGCATGATATGGTAGGGGATGCCTCCGCCAAGGCCCGCTAGCCATAGGGCTGAGTGGTGTGTCAAGGGTACGCTCGTAACACTACTCCCCCCTCTCAAAGAGCCATGGCCCCCATGGCTGATAGACCGGAGATCCACGCCCATTGCTTGCCCTGTGTCTCCAAACATCCATAGTCCGTGTAGGCCTCGACCGGAGACGATTTGCAGAGGTGTACGTGGTATTGTCCTGCAGAGATCCTGGAGATATTGGCCATATCTTGCCTGCGTGCCAGCAAGATTCCCCAAGTTCTTCTCCTTGCCATAGTCCTTCGGTAGAATTGAAGAAAATCCAACGCATGCATGTGTCTTAATCACCTCCAACACCCGTTGGCAGCCTGGCCTGGGAGCTTCACTGTAGATTTGCCCTGTGTCTCCCATGCTCTTGCCATCAAAAATCCATCCTCCGTTCCATCTCCTTTGCCTTGACTCATAGCCATCTTGCTCCGTAGTGCTATCTATTGCATCCATCCGCCTTGTAAGCCTACCGCTTCGACTGCCGGTACCCCGTAGGCCTACCCGTCCTAAGCTGCCATAGCGAGTACTCAGCAGCCAATGACCTGACTGACATGGACCACTTCCGTAAACTCATGCACTCGTCGATTCGTAGGGTCTGGTAGGGAGGTAGGGAAAGAATCGAATGTGTTGAATGCCATTTGGTAGCAGGCTTCACTATGTGTGTTGTCGACATGCTCAGTGAAGAGGTCGAATCGTAGTCGTTTGCCGGTTCCCGTCGCCATTGTAGCAGGCTCACTATGATGTTGCCGACATGCTCAGTAAAGAGGTCATACGTTTGCTGCCCTTGTAGCAGGCTCACTGTGTGTGTGGAGGTGTTTGTTTGTTATGTAGGTCGTCGTATGTAAGGTAGGGCTGGCCGCGGTGTGTAGGTGATCGGCGATGCGGAGGGAGGTATCTTGGTGTTGATGTAGGTGGATTTGAGTCGGAATTCATGATGTGTTGAATGTAGGTAATAACGGAGTGGAGCGGAGAAGGATTTCTTGTATTCGATGTAGGGGACTCGTTTTTTGATGGATTGGGCTACCGTTGATGATGTAAGTTGTTTGATGTAGGTTCTTTCGAATGATGTAGGTATTTGATGATTTGAATGTGTGGTGGGGCTTCTGTATGGTAGAAATACCCAGCGTTTTCTTTATCAGGCTCGGTCGCTTGCTCCGAGCAGAAAGTGAAAACCCGTCAATTCTCTTCGCCGGGGGGTGTACGAAGGAGCCTTATTATAATGTCAGGACCAGCATAGGTGCGATACCAGTATGGGTGAGGTAGAACGAGGATAATAAGGCTACCGAACTATGTAGGTAGGAAGGAGGCATGATATAGTAGGAGATGCCTCCGCCAAGGCCCGCTAGCCATAGGGCTGAGGGCTGAGTGGTGTGTCAAGGGTACGCTCGTAACAATATACGTTATTCACAAATGAAATAACCTTTTTGTTTTCTATTAAAATTTTGAGATTTCTTTTTTAAAACATGAAGGGTAGTTTACGCTGTCCAATGCTGAAAGAGTTATAAAATTCGGTCTTATAATTATTAAGAAGTAGCTAGTTTCATGAGGAAACGCGAAATACTAGGAAATGCGAAATTTTTAAATCCGATAAATCCGACTTAGATGGCTACTACTATCATGGCTATCACTACCACTCATTCAAATGGTCTACTACTATAGTCTACTATAATGGCCAATGCTACGGTACCATAGTCGCCGCCTATAGGCCTAGCATAGTAGGTGTCCCTGCCCTACAATATCAGAAAAGCTTGGTAAAGCAGCCAGCTCAGCTCTCGCTGCTAACACCTTACTCAAGACTATCAACAACGATCTTATCAAGATAGATGAACGAAAAAAGCATAAGATTAAGCGTGGACAAGCACACTGGGGCGAAGCACAGATCATGAATCTTGATGTTGTCCAGCAGCGAAAGGATCAATTCGCTGCAAAGCAGTTTGAACAGCAATTTCGAAGCATGTGTCACCTCGGACCAGCTATTTTTGAAGACACAAAGAGAGGTAGAAGTCCAGTCAAAAAAAAGGCTACTGCACCTCCTACACCAGGCCTATTAAGATCACTGTCCTTCGCTGTACCGGAGGCTCCCCGTAGGCTCCCCCGCAGGCTTCACCGCAGCAACAATAGCAAGGTGGAAGAGATGGAAGCGGTGGTAAAGGTGGAAGCGGTGAATGAGGTAGACGAGGTGGATAAGGTAGACGAGGTGGACGAGGTAGACGAGGTGGAAGAGATAAGGTAGTAGAAGAAGAGGTAGTAGAAGAAGAGGTAGAAGAAGAAGAGATACGATTTTTACGAAGTAATAGATCGATAAGGTTTAAAAAACGATAAATTAGTTTTTCGATATAGAAGCCTTAATAGTAAGAAAGAACTAGAATTTTTTATCTTTATTATGCGGTGTTGTCATATAATTTTAATAAGAAGTAGACATTTAAGTATTAAATCGAATTTATCGATTTTAAAAATTTCGCATTTTCTAGTATTTCGCGTTTTCTTATAAAACTAACTAAGGAGCTTAAATATCGCTTATTAAAGTTCGCTTATTAAAGATCGCTTATTAAATTTACTCGATAGCTCTAATTAAAAAAAATGATTATGAATTTAATTTATAGACCTTTACTCGTAATATTATGAAATAATAAATTATAATGATTAAGTTTTAGAGATTGCAAATTCTAGTGAATACGAGTAGCGTTTTTAAGTTATTTAAGTATATAATTCTTTCTTTCTTTTACTCTACGGCCAACCGTCCTTTAGCAATAACCCTTCTATATTCGACCGTTTACCTCGTCTTTCACCTTATCTTTCTCCTCATTATTCTTCTCTTTCTTTAGATATATTGGATAGCGTGGGCTAGTAAGAGTAGGATAGAGACTAAGTTACGGGCATTAGGCGAAACCTTAATCTTATTATATTATATTACCTCTAAATAAGTCTCGTATATAAAGATCTGTTAATAAGTCGATTAGGGCGTGTTTCTGGCATAGTTCGACCGTCTAACGCGTAACGTACAGGGAGTGTAATTATAGAGCATCGCCGTCGTTATATTCCATATCTAATTTTTCTCATCTAGCCTTAGACACCGAGGTTCTACCCGATTTCTGAAAGGTGACGATGGAGACAAAGCCGGAGAATTACATACGACGGTCGCTCTATCGTTTTTTCTTATCTAGGGCACTTAGATAGTCAAATTCATATTCTACGCGGACCTCCTACTTTCTACTCATGAAATCACTCATGAAGCTACTTCTACCCTCTCTTCTAACCCTTTTATTTAGTCACTTTCTTATCTATTAATTAACCCTCCGACTAACTTATTTCTTCGAGTTCTCGCTTAGGAGGTTAGTAAGGTAGCTTAATGCGGTAGAGCTTCTTAATAACTTCTTTATAGGCTTTTATAGCTTGTTTATATATAGTATAGCTACTTTACTTAGTAGGGCTATATCTTTCTACTTTATAAAATAATTAATAACTTCTATTTATTAGAAAGACTTATCTTTAAATCTAAAAGAGGGTATACATGTAGTTTAAGAAGATGTATATCTATCGAAACTTATTGAAAAAGATGTAAATGAGATAGATATATTAAGGTCGGTAGGGGGTTTTTTATAATAATCTATATAGGCTAGTTAGATAATAAGAATATTATAAGTATTATTTATAAATAAAGATTTATTACACGATTTAACGTATCTACTCTTAAATCCTCTTAAAGAATCTTTTCCTATCAATTATTTTTCAATCTCATGATATCGTGATTTAAGATTCCTTCCGGGAGTCTTCTGAGAAAGCGAGTCTTCTATAATTATTTCCGTAAATACGAATACTAAGCCTCGTTTTCGGGATCTGGCTACTGTAAATTATATTCACGCTTTTTAATTTCTGACTTTAGATTTAAGCGATTTAGCTAAAGTTCTCGTAGGGGTAATATTCTCGAGGTCTTACGGGGGGTGATGGGGGGTGATGGAATGTAATGAAACGGGGTGTGATGGGATGGGGTGTGATGGGATGGGGTGTGATGGGATGGGGTGTAGGCTGTAAAGTAGTATTACGTTAAAGTGTAAAATACGGCTTAGTCATTAGTGGTAGAACTGAGAAGATCTCCTGATTTAGGGATATCCTAAGCGAAAATTCTTCTAATTTTTAAAAACACTCCTAGAATCTCTGTAAAATACGATATTATTTTACACTATAGCTACTTATTGGAAAGCTAGCTTTCTTCCTATCGACAAGTTTTGAAAAGTACTGCCAAGATCTGAATCGAGAAAGCCAGGTACCTATTCGGGAAGTAACTAAATTTCTTGGCTACGAACATCAAATTTTGTTAGTAATCTCAACTTTATCTCCGTCTCTCTCCATTTCTTCTCCAAAAGAATTCTGTCTCTACAAATTATATCTCAGTTAACTCTTTTCGATTATAGTACCTCTTCTTCTGCTGCCATACGTACTGCGAATCGTCATCAAAAAAAGCGTCAACAACAGGAAAATAAGCATGCCCTCTCGCAATTACGCTCCCAAAATCAGCTACAATTCCAGAGAAATCAACAAAATCCAGCCCTCTCGCAATTACGCTCCCAAAATCAGCTACAATTTTAGAGAAATCAATAAAATCCATGCCAACGTCGAGATTCCACACTCTACAACAAAACAATACGCTGTCAACCTCAGCCTGCAACACCTCATAGACCTCCTCAATACACATTCGAAGGCTTTAACAAATCATCTACTAGAATTCTCCCCAATCCTCCTCATCGATACGATAATCTCCAATTTCGCTGTCAAGATCCTACATAACGTTCAACCTTTGACGTATAGGATTTACATCGAGATCACAGTCTTCCCACTTAACAAGACTACGATACTTATTATCCGGAGAATTCTATTCGTATTCAATAAGCAGAGCGAGATAAAGAGCTTCGGGGTACGGTAGAATAGCTGGAAGATACTCGGATTCTCTACGAACACAATACTGTTCTAAAGCTATATAACGATATTATCGATATCGTTACTACGAGTGAAGATAAGGACGACGAGGACGACGACTACGAGGATAAGGACGACGAGGACGACGACTACGAGGATAAGGACGACGAGGACAACGACGACGTATATTACGAGCAGTTACTTAACGCTCTCGACGATATATACTCTTAAATATAAAACGAGTCTCGCTTAGCCTTCTTAGAACGATTAGCATTTAATCGTAACATATATATCTACTCGACAATATCTACTATAATTCGATACGGTGATCATAAGGCTATAAAGAGTCTTATATATTCTAAGATTAACCGACGATATAATCTATTTCTTAGATATCGTTATAGGAACGATCCGGAGAATCAATCAAATGCAGTACCGTAAACATGTTTAATTGTAGCGATGTTCTCAGTGTTCCCACAATGCTTGGCTAGCTTTTCACTACTGGGTAGCCCGCGCCCCAGCACATATTACCCTAAGCCTTGTTAATGCGGGTCGAAATATTCCCCGCCTACAATTTTGCTAACACTCTCCAGGTATGATTAGTAAAACCCCCCTGCCGACCTTAAAGTACGATTAGTTCAATGCTCGGCTAATCTTCGGTTCAATTGACCGAAATTAGCGTGTCTGAAACTCTTGGCGTAGATTTCTAGCCATTTTCAGCAGATAGCTACAGCAAGTCGATACCAAATATATCCAGCCAGCTCGATCCGAGGACATGGCCCGACGTGCGAAGAGAAGAGATCCATCCAGTACGGTGAACTCGAAGACAAGACTAGACGAACGGTCTTTGGAGTAAGATGAATCTAAGCCGTACCTCGAGCAATTTCTGATGGATTTACTGACTTTCCTAGCACTGTAGGCGAGCGCGAACTCATTCCTAATCTTATCTCTGAGCTGCCATACGACATTCTGAAAATGATCTACCACTTGGTCCTAAAGGAGGAGCATGGGGTGCTGCTCCTTCGCTTCAAGAACCATACACTTTCGACTGCATACACTCTCGGCCCAGTTGCCCCGGACGACACGAAGGACGCTGACATGGAGGAACTATTTGAGGACGAGGAGCGTTGGTATGGAAGCGTCAACCTGAATGGAATGCAGCGTGATGTCTACAATTTCAGGAATGTGGGATTCTGCATGGTGTCGAGGGCAATCTACAACACGGCGATCTGCTATTTTTTTAGCATGAACTTCTTTCGGTGCTTGGACTTCGACGACCTGGAGAATTTCTTACAAGATGTCAGACATGTTCACATGATCAACAAGATCCAGGTCGTTTGGAAAGGTGGTTATACAGGTGGCATAAAGGCGATTACGAAGGGAATCCGCGCATTACAGAACAGGGCCACGGGGCTGAAGGAGTTGCATCTTATCGTTGGTAAAAAGGTTAGTGAGGCTATGCTCACCCAGGAGGCGTGGCGATTGATATGCGAAATGGCTCGGCAGAAGAAATGGCAGGTGCACTTGGATGGCGAGGCGGGGTGTTTGCTCAAGGCGCGTCAGCAGCTAGAGGATAAGGGCCAAAAGACAACCTCTCCAGAATAGATGGCTAGATTACATAAAGCGGGCAGTGACGGGAAGATAATACAGAGTAGTGCCACGCTCGATCTTGTTATTAGTTTATAACCTGGCTGTAGGAAGCATGGATAGTTGCAAAGTGCGAACCCTAACCGGATTGCTGTGCTTTAAACCTCCGTCCTGAAAGGTACCTAATGTGGATATCTGAAGCGGTTGAAAAGCCTACGACACATCAGTGAGGGTGCACGTGTATGTCATAGAAAGACGCTACATTGGCGCCGCCGAAGTTGCCCTTCCCCTAGCAGCATGCGTTGAACATCCGCTTCCCACACGTAAGGCTCGTCAGCAACCTCCACCGGACGAAGATGCCGGTAGCCTACATAGTGTCAGCGCCGAGCTACAGTGTCCTTCGAATCAGCTTACCGCAACCGGCCTGCCGGACACCAACACCGTTGTAGTTGGATAAAAACCCTAGTGAAGCATCCGAGATCGTAGTAGCTGTCACGGCTGTTTTTGTTGCAATTTTCACGGGCAGGTATTTGAACATTCGTTGTCGGAGACCAAAGTATCTCTTCAGTGTGGCTTCTAGAACGACGGCATCAGAATAGCCATCCGATATCAGCATCGTAGTAGGTAGCGAAAGAATTACCAAGGACTTCCTCCAGCACGAAGGCGGGTACCGAAGAACTTGCGGGTCAGACTGTCAAACGTCTGAATACACTGAGAAATGCCCCATTGATGGTGGAAGAGACCTAGTACAATGAATCCACCTGTTAAAGCCGTCAGCGACAATCATTTCATGAACCGAGACAGCTCACCGGAACTTGTCCCAAAAGCAAGGTCGAACAGGTCTCGGATCGGATAGTTGGGCCCGACGATGTTTTACAGGATTCTCAAAAATTCAAGTAGCACGAATCCGCGGATTCCACCCCCATCAATACTCAATATTCGCACGCCGGCCGTGGGCGGCTTCGAAGCAAACGTAAGCCACCCAGAGAAGCAGAGCAGGCAACTCTCAAGCTCATACGTATACTCCGACTCCCAATACTGGGCGACCAAAGATCCTAACACACATCTCACACGCGCTATAGCCACAGCTCAAGACATATTCTGGTTCTCGCCGGAGGCAAGGCAGACATATTTGATTGCTCTGGAGTTCGGCCCACGAGATTTCTATACTGCCAAAGTTGCCGCGCTAGATGTTGTCCGCCGTGCTACCAGTATTTGAACACAGAGGATTGATCTACTAGCCTATCCCGGATGGCCTGATTATAATATGGCACCATAGATTGTTCCTTAGATAAGACGACAAGGGATTTGACGCAGAAGGGTTTGTAGATTTCATCGTAAACGAGTTCGGGATCAGATACTTTTTTAGTCAGTGCCACGGAAAACGTTGGTCTTCGATGTGCAAGGAGATATTATGTCACGTCATACCATACTCAGGGCGGTTTTTAATCTTTGGACACTTATCCTATTCTAGGTAGCCTCATAATTTCGGACTTGCCTCGGCTTAAGTCCAGTAAACAAACAATCTAAACAAACAATTATTGTGAGCTACACACACCAACTTATCTTCGGACAATCCCCCTCCGACAGTTCCCCGTCCACACTAATGCAGCCTCCCGCGCACGATCTACATTAAGCTTTCAACTCTCGAGTCAGATAAGAGATCGCCTCAGCTCTATCTATAAATTTCTTATTAGTATATATATGTCAGGGCGTAATCGCTCGACAATCTACAGCGGGGGTATAGCAGGCTCTTATAGAGCCAAATAGGGCGTATCGGCCATGAAGCGCGATACCCCCGATCCTTTTGGCCTTATGGCCTAGTGGTAGCCGAACCATCCTCACAATATAATAGAATAAGATAGAGCTGAGCTATAAAACCTTGAATTTGTATATATAGTTAATTATAAATTCGGGTTCGCTACGCTCTTTGATTAGACCGGCTAAGTCAGCCCGATAGCCCTCTCGAGCTTTCTTATTAAAAAATTAGATGTACGTTATTAACACATAGAATAACTTTTTTATTTTCTATTAAAATTTTAAGATTTTTTTTTAAATTATAAAATGAAATATGAGCTTTCAGATAAAAAAATAGTTTCTAAATTTAGTCTCATAATTGTTAAAGCGTAAGGAATTTAAATATCGCTTATCAAAGTTCGCTCGATGGTCGGACAGCTCTAATTAGGTATACATTATTTGATTTTAGAATAACATTTTTATTTTCTATTAAAATTTTGAGATATCTTTTTTAAATTATAGAACGAAATAAATATAGGCTTTTAAATGAAAAAAGAGTTTTCTAAATTTAGTCTTATAAATATTTAATAATAGAGGATTTAAATATCGCTTATTAAAAATTTATTTACTTTATTAAGAATACTCTTTTATATAAGCTTAGATAGTCGAGTAGTTATAACGAGTAAAGGTCTATGAATTAAATTCATAATTTTTTTTTTTGATTAGGGCTATCGAGTAAATAGGTGAGCGATCTTTGGTGAGCGAACTTTGGTGGGCTGTTCGGCTGTCGAGCGAACTTTGGTGAGCGATATTTGAATTCCTTGCGCTTTAATAATTATAAGACTAAATTTAAGAATTCTTTTTTTATCTGAAAGCTCACAATTTATTCTATAATTTAAAAAAAAAATCTCAAAATTTTAATAGAAAATAAAAAGGTTATTCTAAAATCAAATAATGTGTACCTATTTTTTGGTTAGGGCTGTCCGACTACATTTTTTTGATAGTTGCGAACGCTAATTTATTTACCCGCGATAACTTAGCCGGTCTAATCAAAGAGCGTAGTAACCCTAAATTTATAATTAGCTACATATACAAATTCAAGGTTTTCAAGCTTAGCCCTACCTTATTCTGTTATATATACTAATATTCGGATCTATTTCGCTCCGTTCTCGATTCGAATTCATGAATCTCCCTCGCTAAAATATAAAAATCGTAAAATCGTAAAATCGTAAAATTGTAAAATTATAAAATTATAAAATTATAAAATTCGTAAAATTCGTAAAATTAAAAATTATAATAATTAATATAAAAGAACTATTACTAATATTAAAATTAACTTCTTATTAATTAAATTTAAATTAATTTAAAGTTAATTAATTCTTTAAAAACTTATTATTTATATAACTTCTCTTTTTTCTATTAAAAGCTTTTAATTTTCTTTTAAGTTATAGAACGTAATTTATACTTTTAAATAATTTAAGAATTATTAAATTTAATATTATAATTCTAAATAAATATTAAATTAAAAAAATTCACTCTTCGAGAGTCGAATTCAGTCTCGAAATTAGATTTAAGAATTAATTACTTTTTATGAATTTAATTTATAAGCCTAAACTTATTTTATATAATTTAGTTGTTTTTTAATAATTATAATATAATATTTATTATAAATCGAGTTTTTTATATTAACTTCGTAAATATAAGTAAAAGAATTATCTTAATATTAATTACGAGTAAAGGTCTATAAATTAAATTCATAATTTTTTTTTTAATTAGGGCTGTCGAGTAAATTTAATAAGCGATCTTTAATGAGCGATATTTAAATTCCTTACGCTATAATATTTACTAGACTAAATTTAAGAATTCCTTTTTATTTAAAAGCCTACAGTTCGTTCTATAATTAAAAAATAGAATTAACAAATTATAATAGAAAATAAAGATGTTATTCTAAAATTAAATAATATGCATCTGTTTTTTAATTAGAGCTGTCGAGCGAGTAAGCGAACTTTAATAAGCGATATTTGAGATTCTTATTCTTTAATAACTATAAGATCAAATTTTAAAGTTTTTACGTTATTGAAAAGCGCAATCTTCGCTCTATAATTTAAAAAAATAATCTTAAAATTTTAATAGAAAATAGTAAAGTTATTAAAGGGTTAAAAGTAGAATAAGAGATTTTAATGATTACGAATACTAATTTATTTATTCGCGATAACTTAGCCGATCTAGCTAAAAGGCGTAATAACCTCGAATTAATAATTAGCTATATATATAAATTTAAGATTTTCTAATTTAACTCTATCTTATTCTTTTATATATATTAATATAAAGATTAATACTATATTCGATATAAGAATAATCTAATATTATTAACGAGTTAATCTTTTATTTACGTTAGTAGAATAAGTATTAGATTTTCGAGTTAAAGCGTCTACTTTAATATTCTTCTTATTTTCTTATAAGACGAGTAAAGGCCTATAAATTAAATTTATAATTATTTTTTTAATTAGAACTATCGAGTAAATAGGTGAGCGAACTTTAGTAAGCGAACTTTAATAAGCGATATTTAAATTCCTTACGCTTTAATAATTATAAGACTAAATTTAAAAAAAATTATTTTTTTATAAGCCTATATTTCGTTCTATAATTTAAAAAAAAAATCTTAAAATTTTAATAGAAAATAAAAAAGTTATTCTAAAATTAAATAATGTATATCTATTTTTTGATTAGAGCTATCCGGCTGCCGAGCGAACTTTAATAAGCGATATTTGATATTCCTTACGCTTTAATAAATATAAGACTGAATTTGAAAATCCTTTTTTTATCTGAAAGCCCACATTTCGTTCTATAATTTAAAAAAATAATCTTAAGATTTTAATAGAAAATAGTAAAGTTATTAAAGGGTTAAAAGTAGAGTAAGAGATTTTAATAGTTACGGACGCTAATTTATTTACTCGCGGTAACTTAGTCGATCTAGCTAAAAGACGTAATAACCTCGAATTAATAATTAACTATATATATAAATTTAAGATTTTCAAGCTTAATTCTATCTTATTCTTTTATATATACTAATTATTTGAAAATTAAAATTACATAGAATATTTAAATATCGAGCCTATTATCGAATAAGCTTCTTATCTTTTATAAAGAGTTTAAAAGTTTAATTATTAATAAAGACTTAAATAAATAATTAATTTAAAATAATTTAAAATATATATACTCGAAGTAGTAAATAATAGCGAGTAATTTTTTACTATAAATATAATAGTTATATCTAATAAGAAATATAATCTTATTATAGAAAGCTATTAAATAAAAAACTCTTTTATTAAATTATTAAAATAGAATATCTTTTTTATATAGTAAATTACTTTTATTATAAGAATAATCTATTATTTTAAGATAAAGTACTTTAAGATTAATACTATTATAATTTACTATTTAAGATTTTCGAATAATTTAATATAGATCTTATTTTATAGAAATTAAATATTCTTTTTAATAAGATTTATTAACGTTTTTACTATTTAAAAAAACTTATTAATAAAATTTTAATAAAATTTATTAAAATTTATTAAGTCTTAAATATTTTTTAAATTAATAAATATAGTCTAGTTAATAATTAATATAATCGTTTTAAGATTTATTTATAAATATAATTTATATTATAACTTCTAAGAATACGATCTTCTCGATATTAAATTTGTATTTCTTAATCTCTATTTATAATGTTACTTTTCTTAAATAAGTAAGAGTCGTAGCTATATTAACGATATTTCTTTTATATTTAATTATAAATTAGAATATAGCGTAAATAATTAATTTCTCATATATATTATTCTAATTATTTAATTATAATAGATATTTTATTAATTAATTAATAGATTATTTCGATAAATATATATTATTATAATTAAAGAGTTGAAAATATTATTAAAAAAACTTTATATTAAATATAATAAATCGCTTAACGTAGTAATTTATTCTATAAAAATATATATTTAATAAAATAAAATATTTAACTAATAGTAATTAATCTTTTAATTAAAAATTAAGAATCTATTTATAATCTATTAAAGATCTATCGAAAATCTATTAAAGATTTAAACTCTTAAAGTTAAGATTACTTATTTCTTATATAATAAATTAAATATATTTAATACTAATTTATATATAAATATATCTTATATATTAATTATTATTATAACTTATAAAATAGATTATATAAGTAAAAGTAATATTTAATTAGAGATATTTATTATAAACGTATTCTTAATATACTATTTAATTCTATAATCTAATATCTTAGCGAAGATATCTTCTACTATATTATATCTTCTTTCTATTTATATAATTCGATAGCTGAGATATCCTTGTGGCTGCGATAGCTCCAATAGCTGAAATCACTGAGACATCCCCACGGCTGCGGTAGCCCAAGTAGCTGAAGTAACTGGGACGTCTCTATATCTGCGATAGTTCAAA